TAGGATCTGAAATAAGGTGCACATATCATCTTGTCAAACACATCTGAAAACGTGACCAAACTAGCTTAAGGACCAAGACAGTCAAGAACTGTGAGTCTCTAAGGCCGATAAAGTGCAAACTAGATTTTTTTCATTATGTTAAGAGTATACATTAGAAAAACTAAGTTGTCCTGAACACCACTGAAGGTCTTTAATACCTTGATCTTAGAAGGTCAGGTTAACGCACTGTTGCAATAGTTGTGGCAGTTTGAGACATTACACTTCCTCAGCTGCCCTCTCCCTCAGCCTTCTACCAGCAATCTGTATCCCACTAGCATAACGTATACTTATGAGATACTCATATGCTTCAGAAGACCAGCTTAGTTGTAGACGAAAGTAGTTTGAGGAGTTTTTCAATTAAGGGGTTGGTTCCATGGTCTAAATCTGCACTGCTGTGGTTTCTGTCTTCTTCTTTTCACCTTGACAATTCACACATTGCACCTCCCTATTGCCAATCCTAGCGCTTAGATGATGCAAATGTAAACCAATCCAGAAGCTACAAAGGCATTCATACTTTTTTTGACAGGGAAGCAAGGGTCTCACCTCCCAAAACCAAGAGAAAACAGTGACCTACAGCCCTGGTTCGGCCTAAGCAGCTATTTCAGGAATGCTGTGTCCTGCCCAGATGCATACTATAATTTTTGGCAAGGTTCACAGGTGACACAAGGTGAGATTCATTGAGCAAAAAAGTTGCCAACTGCAGCAATACTTCATGTAAGAACTGCCTTGAGTTAGCAATCTTCTGTGCTGGCCTGTTACAGCTGTACTACTTTATTTTGCATGAGAGCCTCTTACTGCAGCCAAGAAAGATCTGAGCCATAGTGCATACGCATTTATTTTGTCTCGCCTAGCATGCATGTGTATGCATACATGCATATGTGCACTTGGAAAGAAAATATGTTAGAAAGCGAAGTACAGAAATTTGTATTCACTCAGTACAGAAGGAAGGGAGAGGGAAGAAGAAGAAGAGAGAAAGAGGTCTTAATCCACAAGCGAGTTCACTGTGCAACACTGAAGCCCAAGTCCTGAACATCTCTCGTCAATTTGATCCTAAGCATGGTAAAGCCCCCACACTTACATGGGGGGGACAGACACACGAAGGTGATGCTGCCAGTGCAACATGACCTGTCTTCACCACTGTAATGAATAGCAGGGAGAGAAAGAAAATAAATGATTACAGCCCTTGCTTACTGTCACCCAGTTTCCTTTCAAAAAGGAAACACTTCAACAGGTAATCGAATGTGTGTGCATGATGGGTATGATACTTGATTAGCACATCAACAAACTTGGACATGCAGTTCTGTATAGAATGAGCCTCAAATCAACTCTGCTTCAGGTGTTCTGCTCAACTTTCCTTTGAGAAATGTTAATATTATGATCCTTTAAAGGCCATCAATAATATTGGCAGATTCCAAATAAAACTGAAGTAATATATTTTTCCATATACAAGCCATTCTTTTTCATTTTTCCAATTTCACTACTCTTCAATTACTTCTCCCAATTATAATCCACAGATTAACTGATGAAAATTTCTATTTAAAATACAGAATCAGATACAGAATACAGATCAACAGCTGATCAACATCAGTGATGAAAAAACAATTTTCACAAGATATAGTTTGGATAAGGGGTGTAATCTACTCAGAAACTACTTCAAGCCACTTCTACTCAAAGTACTGCACCAAGCCACTTTCCATCATTTCTCAGCAGTCCTGGCTCACTGGGGAGGTCCCACTTGACGGGAGGTTAGCAAATGTGACACTCCTCTACAAGAAGGACCAGAGGGAGGATCCAGGGAACTACAGGCCTGTCAGTCTGACCTCGGTGCTGGGGAAGGTTATGGAGATCATCTTGAGTTCCATTACACAGCACAGGCAGGACAACCAGGTGGTCAGGCCCAGTCAGCATGGGTTCATGAAAGGCAGGTCCTGCCTGAAAAACCTGATCTTCTTCTATGACAAGGTGACCCACTTAGTGGATGAGGGAAAGGCTGTGGATGTTGTTTATCTAGACTTCAGTAAAGCCTTCGACACCATTTCCTGCAGTATTCTCCTGGAGAAACTGTCTGCTCATGGCTTGGATGGGCATACGCTTCGCTGGGTAAAAAAATGGCTGGATGGCCAGGCCCAAAGAGTGGTGGTGAATGGAGTTAAGTCCAGTTGGTGGCTGGTCACAAGTGGTGTTCCCCAGGGCTCAGTATTGGGGCCAGTTCTCTCCAATATCTTTATCAATGACCTGGACGAGGGGCTTGAGTGCACCCTCAGTAAGTTTGCAGAGGACAAAGTTGGGCGGGAGTGTTGATCTGCTTGAGAGTAGGAAGGCTCTACAGAGAGATCTGGACAGACTGGATCAATGGGCTGAGGCCAATGGTATGAAGTTCAACACGGCCAAGTCGGCACTTGGGCCACAAGAACCCCATGCAGTGCTACAGGTGTGGGGAGGAATGGCTGGAAAGCTGCCTGGCAGAAAAGGACCTGGGGGTGCTGTTTGATAGCCAGCTGAACGTGAGCCAGTAGTGTGCACAGGTGGCCAAGAAGGCCAAAAGCATCCTGGCCTGTATCAGGAACAGTGTGGCCAGCAGGACTGGGGCAGTGATCGTTCCACTCTACTCAACACTGGTGAGGCCCCACCTCGAATACTGTGTTCGGTTTTGGGTCCCTCACTACAATAAAGATATTGAGGTGCTGGAGCGTGTCCAGAGAAGGGCAACGGAGCTGGTGAGGGGTCTGGAGCACATGTCTGATGAAGAGCGGCTGAGGGAACTGGGGGTGTGCAGCCTGGAGAAGAGGAGGCTGAGGGGAGACCTTATTGCTCTCTACAGCTCCCTGAAAGGAGGGGGTCACAAGGGGGAGGTTGGTCTCTTCTCCCAAGTAACAGGGGATAGGACAAGAGGAAACAGCCTCCAGCTGCACCAGGGGAGGTTTAGGATGGGTATTAGGAAAAATTTCTTCACCGACAGGGTTGCCAAGCATTGGAAGAGGCTGCCCAGGGATGTGGTTGAGTCACCATCCCTGAAGATATTTAAGACAGGTAGACATGGTGCTGAGGGACATGGTTTAGTGGTGGCTTTGGCAGTGTTAGGTTGTTGGTTGGACTCAATGATCTTAAATGTGCCTTCCAACCTATATGATTCTATTATTCAAACAAAGGTGACAGTGAAATGTCAAAATATTAACAAATGTTTTCAGGCTGAGTAATTTTTCCATCAAAAATCATACATTAGGTCTCCTGTGGCACTAGCCATAACTACTACTAAAGTCCATGGGTGTTCTGCTAATGAGGTATTACAATCAGTCTGGTGATCAGAAGCCAACTGCATAAGAAAATGAACACTTATTAGTTACACAGAGTAGAGCAATCTCAATTGATAGATTTAGCCAACACTTCATTTAGAAATGTCACTGCCCTCATGTCAACATTAGATGGCAGCAAATACCTGTAAACTAATAAAGGGCAAAAATTTAGAAAACTGCACTAGGGTGACAACTGTCCTATCAGCCCCAGGAAATAGGTGCTGAAGAACCCAAACACCCTTTACTTCAACCAAAGTTTGGTTTCCCAAACCAAACCAAACAAACAAACCACACATACAACAACAACAAAAAAAACCAAACAACACCCCCCCACCCCCCCAAAAAAAATCAAAGGAACTCATCAAGTGACATCTAAGGCCAAACTTTAAAGCAAAATAAAATACACATCTTAAAATTATGTTATGTGGGAACTTAAAGGCCATCAAAAGAAGTGATTTAGTGACACCACAAAAGTTTGGTTTGTCACTGCCCACAGCATACTACATGGTTGTTCACACTTTCTCCCCACTCTCCCCATCCCACTTCTGCAATGATTAGGAGTTTGTGTAACTTCTACAACTATACTGCACTTTAGCATTATTTGCCAGAATTTTAAGATATCAAAGACAGATCAAAATTAAAGGTGGCTGGCATATTTCTCTGATAAGAGAAACAAACAGAATGATCTTTTGAAGTACTATACTTCACTTCTTCCTTTGAATCATTTTCATTCAGTTTCACTCAGCAGTGCAAAACAAAAAGGTTACACACCTATAGTGAAATAAGCGTGAAGGATTGTAAGTGATTGCTCGTATAAAATACAAAAGATTTACCAGAATGGAAGAGGCTGACTATGTGTGTTCTGACCATTTGCTAAATTGTATCCTATTGCTTGACATCACATCCTCGGGGTTTTCATTAAAGGCTACTGAACATCCGGACCATAAATTATCATCTTTTATTTCCTGGATGAAACAACTTAGTTCTGCTAGAAAACGCAGCTGGAGGCATGTCAACGCTAGAGGGGGGCAGAGCATCACACCAGCCGAATACATACTGTACTGCATTCCCTTCTAAGGAGCAATAATTGGAAAAGTCACTGGCCAGTGGAACAATTTGGGATTCACAGATTTACTGAACTACTATGGCATAAGTGAATGCAAAATAGTAATCTTGTTAGAAGAGATAAAAAGCAAGCTAGTTCATTTCACTAGTATGTGTTGCTAGAATTTCATTAGAGCTTCAGAATTTCAGGAATTTATCTAACTAGCTGACTAATATTTACGGGGGGATATAATAATAATTTTTCAGCTCATTTTAAGTTGCAGTACTTCCCAAGAGACATCCAAGAAGTCTTAAAAACACATACCACCAACAACTTAGAAGGTTGCAAGCTGGCAAAGATGCTGCTCAAGAAGACAGTGCACATTATGCCAATGTTCTTAATATCCCTTTGGGCAAAAGACCATTTTTTTCATTCCCGTTTCAGTTCCTGGCAAGTCTTTGTTATCCAGGTTACACCTCCAACATAACACCAGAAACTATTAAGTAATAACATGGAGAAAACTGGTAAAAAAGAGTAACAGTAAAGCCTGTGGTAACCATTAAACATAGCTTTTTCATTGCATGGGACCAATTCAATATGTATAGAGTAAATTGCCAACCTACCTCCTTTCCGCAGCAGATAGATGGGCACAACATAAAGCATCACGTGCTGGATGTAATAGATTTCCATTTCAAATGGAAGCTGTGGAATAAGGAAAACATTTATAAATGTTTCTCATCCTTAACAACTGAGTTACAAGGAACCACTCTCCTTATGACCCATGACAATTCCTTCAGTTCAGTTATTTTATCACCTATGTATATTAACAAAGAAATTACATTAACGGTCTGTTCTTTGAAAGTCCATTCCATTCCCCTTGCCACGAACACAATGCAACACTTCAAGTTGACAATTCTCAAAATTAGCCAGTAGCCCAAAGAAGGAATAATGTTAAGATTGCTCTTTTCTCTTTCTTAGTTAGCATAAATTACCAATAACAATGCAGAACCCTAACGTAATCAAACCAGAAATTATACACACCCCATATGACAGTAGCCTATTTAGAAAGAAAATTGCTACCTTGTGAGTGATAGAACTCTATAAATGAGGCTTTTTATATATAAAACTATATAAATAAATATATAAAAGTAATTACTGAGGAGGCTTGTGTAAAAATTAAAAGACCTGATTTATAGCAATCTGCATGCATGTGTGAAACCGCTAAGCTTCAGCAAATCTAAAATAACCAATATTTTATTGGTTTTAAAGAGAAGCTGAAGCAGGATGTATGTAAACAAGTTACCAACTAGTAGTAAATCAGGTATTTCTCACCTGCTGACAACTTTTGGGAAATTACAATTAGTTATTTTTGTGTTTACTAGTTGAATTCACATTACTTCTTAGAGGAGAAGTCAAACAGACTGTGCTAAAATAATACTGTGCTAAAAATAACTTGAACCACAAGTCGGAGTTTAATTTGAGCCCCTTAATCCAGACCCAACTAATTCTAGCTTCTTATCAGTTAGAAGAGTTGATGCACTGTATTTGAAAGTTATTCCCATCTGTAAATGCCTTTGCCTATACCTAGTTGTTTAACTAAAGCAACACATTTAAAACTGAACAGTAGTAGGAAGGATTCAAATTCAAAATTCAGAATTCAACTTCTTGCTGCAGCTCACTTACAAAGCTGGAAAGACATACTTCTCCATTATTTTTCAGAAGTGAAAACTGGACAATACCACCACACAAGTATGACATCTCACAAAGCCATTAGCTTTGGTTCAAATGCAGACTCATTCTACCACTCTACAGGCTAAAGTGAATCCAGACGCAAGCCTTACCATCATGGCTTGTCTATTGGCAAGAAAAAATAAAGAGGGGAAAAAAGCCTTACTTTTCTATTATTGTTCTGAGACACTGAAGTCATAGCGCTGAAAGAGAAACTACAAAAATTTCTAGAGCAACAGAAGTAAATAGAGGTTGAACCAGTTTGGTTTTCTTCCTAAATACCAGTCAATAAATAGCTGGAAATTAATATAGTGATCTTTAAATTCAACAACAATTCTCGTATCCTATTTTGAATGTAAAAGATGCTAAAACCAACAGCTGGATTCTGCTAGTCCTGGCATCTCCCAGCTGAACACTATCAGTGTCCTGACCTCAACCCTCCAAGATGTTCAGCCAGCTCTTGGGAGACTAAGCTAAAAAAATCTTCCATGCAATCTGTTGGGTTATTTCATTCCAAGTATTCTGTATCAAAACATAAAACCAAGCAAGATAATAGTATGCAAAAGCAAGAACTTCATGGAAGTTGTGAGGTTTCCTGAATCTGGACCCTTTCAGTCGTCCCGTGTCGAAAGACACAAGAGGGCAAAGTGAGGGAATCAAAATTATCTGGAAAGAGGCTAAAGCAGTTTTCCTAACTGGAGAAAAAGCTGCACCTCTCCCAATTGGAACAGGCACACTTCAGAAACAATAGCTCTGGCTATAAACAACACAACATGAGGCACTCACTCCTGCCAAGGAGCATTCTCTATTTAGTATCTATGGTTTCATAAAGGCTTCTACACTCGCCGAGTTGTGAGGGCCAGTGACACAAACACTACGCTCAGGACACTTCTGAGAACAGAGTAACTGTTGTTTAGCTGCAGTGGTGTTGACAATACTTTTTTTTGTGTAAAACAAAACATTATTTTTTTTTTTTACTATGAAGGATTGCTTGTTCTGAAGCCTGGCTAATTACGCAAGTGCATTTCCTGGTATAGAGCTGCAAAAGCAGAATTTCTAGACAACCGAGCACTCAAGTTGTACAGCCAGGCTACAACAAACAGAAGAAGAACAAACACAGAAGAACTATAAAGTTGTACTGAGCAATTGACTCACCTAGCTCTAAAGGTCTCGTCTATAAATTGTTTTATCAATAAAACACTCACGGATAGCAGATAGGTACCTTTTATACAGAAAGAGAAACTGCAAGTGAAGACAAGGTAGAAGAGACCATCCATCAATTTGGATTTAAAGAATCTCTTTGTGAAAACAAGTAAGCACTTCAGCAAGTGGTAAAGTTCGAGAAATTAAAAAAAAAAAAAATAATCAAAGCAACACTTACAGAACAAAGCAAGTCAGAATACTGAGTTGGTCCACCTAATAATATTTGACCATAGACACCCGTGAAGGCCACGTGTATTTAAACCCAGACTCCAATCTCCAAAGTGGACCCTCTTCATAAGCCCCAAGACACTTGTCCTCTCCCTCCGCCTTGGTGGAAACCGAGCAGCCACTCTCAAGAGCGGTATTGCCCTAATAACAAACCACTGATGCTCATGGTACATTTCTTCAACCACACCTGTCCCCAGACAGATTCAGAATCACTGGATATTTGTCACCAAGATAGGCTCCTCCGAACTCTCTATATTAATTGTCAATTTATTTGCTAGGGTTTTTTTGTACTAACCTCCCGCCTCCCTTACCAGCTGCCAGCGTGACTCTTCCTGCATTTCACTTTGCTTCCCTTAGTCAGAATCTTAAAACAATTAATGGCACAAAACAAAAGGACAAGTTACCTATTTCTTCTACTAACTTATATTCTAGGCTCCCTTAACAGGGCAAATGCATACAGAGGACAGGCTACTCTCTTACTCAAGACAATAAGTAATTTTTTTTTCCTTTAAAGACTCTTACTTGTGGCAAAGAAAATCTGCTTCATCCATTCATAGGTTTTAACACCGGTATAAAATCATACGCATTCCAAAACACACCAAACTAATACTGACATACACAATTCCTCTAACATACAAGATCAAAGCATGCTAACAAAGTACTCTGGAAATAAATGTTCAGAGTATTCACTTTTTACATTATTTCTGTTAGAAAATAAATGGCATTTTGCTCTGCCAGGAAGAGTTTGGCTCAAAGCAGCCATGGGTGCTTCTAGCCCCCACATCAGTTTGGTATGATGCAGATTCAAAAGTGCCACATTCCCTGGACACATGCTAAAGGCCCTCTGGAAAGTACCAAGAAGAGCAAGCAGGCAGTAGACCTCCATCCCAGGAACAGGTAAGTTACGTACAGCTCTGCTAGTCTAGCTAAACTCCTAGCAGCTGCTTACATCGCTTGTGAGACCATGGAAAAGAGAAACTGTACGAGGAAGGATTAGAGCTCACCCTTGCATCACCGAGCATGAGGAGTCACAGCCATCAGCAGAAGACCTCCCAGCACGTACTTGCTGCCCTAACTTAAACCACCTACTGCCCTAAGGAAACAATTGGTCTTTCCAGTGACTGCACTAAGCTTTAGAGAAATCTCAAGACAGCAGTAGAGTTGAGCCCAAAAGTCAGATATTCAGACGAGAGTTTCCCCCCAAAGAGTATGGCACACAGTGCTCGTTTAAACTAGTTTAAACCCACTTAGACACAGCAGTTGGTTTTCAGTGGGTTTGGAGGTTACCACTTTGCCCTGTTTTCTGAAAGTAGTGCTTCTCCCTCTGTTAATTATTTATACCTTGGCCTTATATTTGCAACAACAGCTCAAGCACTGTACTGGGCTCTCCCTTCACCATCCTCTACAAAGACTGCAGAGTATGGCAGAAAAAGGAATAGAAGCAATTCAGCTCTCAGGTTCTGGTCTTTTCTGTAGCACATCTAGCACGAACTCTAGTAAACGTGAACCGTCATTCTGTACCAGCCACTTTTGCGGACATACTCAGAAACTCAGTTACATAACCTATGATCAGTAACTAGTTTCCTAAACAGTCAGTAATCAAAGAAATAAACCAGAAACATTGTGGAGTTTTTTTACCTGCAAAGCAGACCACAGAACAGATTAAACAACAGAGAGCTGGAACCTATATAAAGCTATACAATACAAAATCATGGGGCAAACAGCTACTAGACCCATGTAACACTGGTTACTTTGAGCACCTTTAGGATTGTCATAGCAAATTATTCACTTGGCAGAGAAGAAACAGCTGCCAGAGAAGCTTAGAAGAATGGTCTAAAAATGACATGAAGACTTAAAAGTCACAAAACCCAAATACAAGTGGCATTTGGAAAACAGATTTTTTTCCAGTCTGCCCAGAACTCTTTTCTCCAGCATACATCCAAACTGGCAAATACCCAAGAAGCTGACCCATGCTCAAGTTATTGGTACGCTCTTTGGGCAGTTCTACAGCTCAGGCACCAGCGTATAAATGTGGCATAGATTAGAAAAGACATTCCCATATCTCTTAATACTGGGAAAAAGTAGACTGAGAAAAAAGTTTAGGTTAATATTGGCATTAGTGTCAACAGCAAAGCCCCTTGAAAGAAAGGAGTAGCAGGGCTGTCACCCATCTGCATGACAGTCTAAGGCAGCATCCCAGATTTTATTTGCAACACTTCCTTTTCCTTATATTTTAGGGGCAGAGTGTTTCACTGCCATACACCTACTTGCCTGTAATTGATATGAATGCATATTGATTAGTCCCACTAAACAATCTGTTTCAAGTAGGTGTCTCAACCAGCATCCACCCTCCAAGCTGTTCTACACAATCCAGTCCGTGCAGGGAATTATAATTCCCTTAAAGTATCATGAATTGATGAGTTTTATCGATTAATTTTATCTAGTTCTCATTTTCACTTAATCCTGTTAGGGTGGGGCATATATACAGAAGGAAAGAATCAAAATTCACACCTGCTACCAAAGGCAGTGTTAGCATGCACGAG